TATTTAGTTTTATAAAAATCGTAAAAATATAAAAAGTTGAAAAACTTCTAAAATAAAAATATAATAAAAGCTGGTATTATTATAGTAATAGCAGTATAATAATCATTATCAATACTGTTTTGGTAAATCAAATAAATGAAACATTAAAGGAATAATTTTTCAATAAGTAGTTCAAATAAGTATAGTCCATGAACATCAAAAATTCTCCGCTACCATATGATGTAACGTTTCCAGCTACTACTTGGTAACCAGAGTTTTGAAGTCCATGAGGTAACCGTCGAGAAAATACTTGCGCAGCAAGACTGAACTTCATACGTTTCATTTTTGTTGGATTAAGGTGGTGTTCGGTTAATGTAGGACAACGACGAAACATACTTGAAGTAAAATCATAATTGTAATAATCTATGATGTCTTTTCAAGATGCTTTATATTCGTCCCCATCTAAACCTATAAATATAACATTGTACTTAGCAAAATTATTCCGCATACACTTTAACAAATGTGGAGGATCATATAAAGGTACAATCTCATGGCCATCTATTTCAAAAAACAGTTTAATCCAGTGAAGGTTTTTTGTTTTATAATACTCTTCTATATCATTTAAAAGCCTGCTTTACAATTTGCCGCATATTGGTCGCATATAAAAAACCAATGCAAAAGCAAGATAAGATGCCGAAATGGTTCAGAAAAACACTCTCATGAAAATTGCCATATCGTATCATACTTTATATGTGCAGTATGCCATGGAAACCATCAAGCAAATGACAAAGAATGCAATTTTTTTATAGTAAATAAAGAAATAAAACGAAATGTTGGCACTACATAATATATTTTATCTTGAAGATAAAAACATGATGTGGAAAAGAGGATATGCTGAGGCAGCTAAGATCAACCCGTACAATCCGGGTCGCAAACTGTGGCAACAACCTTTAAACCAATACTAAATAACTTTTTTGCCACATCAACAATAAGAGATTTTAAATCAGAACTATTTACTCCACCTTCGGAAAAGTAGAAAGCAACTGGTTGCTTTCAACGATCCTTTATTCCTTTTATCATGAAAACAAGTGCATGATGTGCAAATAAACTTTTTCTGCCATTCGCTAGTTTTACAAAACCGACAATGTGATCCTTTTTACGATCATATGACAATTCTGAAGATAGTGATATTTCATCAAACATCAAAACACAGTATTTGCTACTCTCATACTTTTTATGAGAAATAGCTGAACCTATTATATTAAAAAGACACTCATTAATACTGCTATACAAAGGTATCTCTGAAAGCAACTTCCTCAATGTTTGAAGAGATGGCAAAATAAATATTTGTCTCCAAAAATGATAAGCCTTTGGAGACTTTTCATACAGATTTAAAGCAAGAATTTTGTCTTTGTCTGTAAATTTTCTTCCTTTCGGATTTTTAGTATGCTCTCTTAATGAAGACAATATAAAATTACTTGCCCCAATATTAAATGTTTCTGGAATATTTGAAAACATTTCAGAACATTGTATACTCTGTTGCAATTTATCCCTTAAATTGTTGCATTGTTTATTAATCCTTCTTACCTCCCGGAACAAAATTTTTGATGTATCATACATCTTACATCTTCTGGGTGTCAAGGCATTCCTACGCTTAATCACTGCATTCTGCAGCAATTTGCAGCTACCCTCGAAGCCTTCTATTAAACATAATAGAATGTTATAATATCATAGTTGATGAATTAATTATTAACTTCCTGTATAGTTAAAGTAATGGGCCAAAAATCGAAAATGAAAATTTTTGCATTTCTCGACGTTTTGAAGGTTTCTGAACATTTTGGCATACCTCAGAAAAAATGGTTGTGTGTGCGTGTGTGTTTTGTATGTCCGCATTTTTTCGTCCACGTTTTCGGGCGCACGGATCTACCGATTTGAATAGTTTAAAAAAACATTCGATCCCTATTGATAGGGAAATGTGCTGATTAGTTTTTGGCAAAGGCAGGTCCTGCCATTTCGAAGATACAGAGCTAAATGTGAAAAAAAATTGCAGTTTTTGAGTGAACTAAGCGTCCGATTTGAATGATTCTAAAAAACTTTCTGCTTGTATTGACAAAACAATTGCTTTTGAGGGTAAAAAACATCATTTTTTTTATTTTCCATAAACTATTTTTGTAATTTTGGATTCAAAAAATTACCCAGGCTAAGCGCCACTCTAGTACAAATGTTTATCCAAGTGCGTTCAGACTGTTTATAAACTGGAACACTTTTCCAAATTTGTGAAAACTATTGAAAAATGTGAAAATTCCGCCAAGCTAAGCACAGTATAGTAAAAATGTCGCACAGAATTATTTGCAAATGCGTTTAGACTATGACTATACGGGAGCACTTTTTCAATTTTGTGTAAATTAGGCAACTATTGAAGTAAAACTTCTTTAGGCGCGATATGGGTGTAAAAATTTCTGTAGGCGCGACACGGGTGTAAATCCGTACAAATGCAACGAAAACACCAACGTGAAGTTGAACACTACGACGCTGTAAGCGCTGATGTCGCGAGTCGCGATCCACTCCCGTCATGTCACGCGTAAGTCGAACGCTAAACCCGCTAAACCCTATATGAACTTGCATTAATTGAATCACGTTTTTTTACAAAAGAAGAGGTTGCTGTATTATGTCCTCATGGAATAAGACATTTCTTAGAGAATAAATGTGTCATGGAATATAATAAATTTATATTGAATCTCGTTGAAGACAAAATAATATCTACTGCCACGGATATTTATGTAGGTTGCCATGCGACAGATCAACAATCATACATTCGTCAGCAGTTTCACAAAAATCGGTTATTGATACCGGGGTTTGCCGTATGAAATAATTTCAGTTCTGAATAAATTTTACATAATAACAACTAATATTGATGTAAGTGATGGCTTAGCTAATGGTTGTGTAGGAAAATTAGTGTACATAGAACGTGGCGATAATGATGAACTTCTACGTTTATGGTTTGAATTTTCTGGTAAGATAGGTAACAAAATTAGGAAGAAAGCTGCACATCATATTCAAACTCTTAATATCAGTAGGTCAGCTGTGCCGATTCTCAGGAGATCTTTATCTATTCCAATGAATAGAAATAAAATCATATTTGCCAAAAGAAATCATTTTCCTTTAGTGTCTGCTTGTGCACTCACAATACACAAATCACAAGGTGGTACTTTTGATGAAATTGTATATGAATACAATAAAACACATAATCAGCAGCTTCTATATGTTGCATTATCACGAGTTACCAGCATTAATGGATTGTTCATCATTTCTAAAACAACGACAAAAAATTTTATCATGGAAGAAAACGGCCAGCAGGATTAATGGACTTACAAACTGAATTCCAAAGACTTTCAACTTGTAGATTAATAACACAAGAAAAAAAATTGAGTGAGAATAAGTTTGAACGACATTTCATTGTTTTCCTTTAACTGCCAAAGTTTACGAGCTCATTTGCCTGATCTGCAAGATAAAGTGCTACAACGTTGTACGTTTTTGTTATTTTCGGAAACTTGGATTAATAATGAAGAACGAATTGATATTCAGAACTATTACTGCGTTACTCAATACAAACGATCAAACTCAAGAGCAGGTGGTGTAGCTGTCTATCATTCATGTTCAGATACTGTTCATAATGCCACTCCTATGCAGTTTCTTGCGCCAACAATATTACTGGATATTCCTAATGAAATTACACAAGTAGGTGATATTGCAGTTGTCCGCTGTGTGAACACTCAGAATCAAACATTAATTATAGTCGTCCTTTAAATTTCTCCCAATAAAAACGTATCAAATATTATTAAATTTCTTCATCAGCAGTTACTTCATTTTTCTAATGAGGGTGCAAAACTTTTAAACACTAATCACAACGAGATACCATTAATTCTTGCTGGAGATTTCAATGTCAATTTTCGTTCAGAAGAATCTCAACCATTAATTGATTTTTTAAATAATAAATTTAATTTAACAATGAATAATTCTCCATTTGAATCAACCACAAGATATGGCACGACTATTGATGCAGTTTTCTCCAGAAATGTACATAGTTTACAAAGCAAAATTTATGTCTCTCATTTCAGTTATCACAAACCTATTATATCATATATGAAATATGATAGCAATTAATCTATCGCTGTTGTTTTAAACTGTGTTATTGATGTTATGTGATTATTAATAAATGATTTTTAAAATTCAAATATGATGTTTTTTTATTTTTATCTTAATTGCCTACTCATACAATATTAAAAGTTTTACTTCAATCGCGTGTGATCCTTACGCGCACTCTTTTTTTTTGAAATTGAATTCGAAATAAAATGACGATTGTTAATGTCTGGACATAAATTGATTTATGATTTACATTTGATTTGCTCAGATATAACAAGATAGCAAAAATAATGGGAGTTACAGTATTTGTAATAATAAATTTGAAAACGTTTAAAATTTCTCGAATAATTCATTACGGTACGGGAAGTTCCAGCAATTTGCCTTAAGACACGATGCCATACACCACTAGTTATTGCTGCAATTATTATAAAAAATATCTTTGCGGGAAACTGGTGACTGTTTCAACCCGCACTTGACAATCTTTGGGGTACTGCAAAAATTTTTGTTTGCAGCATAGATAAGTAAACACATGGTTTGCAGTTTGTATGTAAAAAGTTCTAATAAATTAAACGCTGTAGTTTTTGAATGGTGCCCATTTTGAAATGCTTGTTCAATTATAATAGCCATAGCGACTATCCATGATACCATGACATCCATGATAAATGAAAAGTACCGAGTGTTGTCACACCTGATCTCTATCTTATGCGAAGTGAGACTCAAATCATCAACGAAATCAAATGTCAAAGTCAAAACGAATTAATAGATATATGTATATTAAAACATATTTATCATTGATGCAAAGCATATAAATTGAAAGCTTTCTTAACTTTTTATAAATTACTGTTTGTTTGTTTATAAACAAACGACTAGCGCCGAAAATGTTCGAAGAAACAATTTCAAACCCAATAATTAAAACTGAACCAAAGGAATATTCTCCAGTTAAACAAGAACTTGATGATTATGACATCACTCCAGAAACATATTTAGAAAACGAGGTAAAATATTTACAGCAATTTTCAGAATTTGAGATAAAAATAAATCAAAAAATAAAACAAGAAATAGTTGATGATCAAGATGAAACAAGTTTTGGCGAGGGATCATACACAGAAAACGAAGAAATAAATCAACAGCGATTTTTAAACTCTGATGACACTATAGATAAAGAAATCAAGAAAGAAACAATTGATGATCAAGATGAAGCTCGTTTCGATGAGAATTCTTACACGGGAAATGAAGAAATATGTCTACAGCGATTTTTAAAATCTGGAGTAACAATTGATGAAGAAGTTAAGCATGAACCGATTGATGAGCATGTTGCAGACACCAGTAAAAACAAAAATATTGATAATGTCGGTAAGTCAAGTGATTTAGTGGATAATATAAATGAATGCAATAAATCATTTAAAAAAGTTTTAGGAAAACGTAAAACTACCCTAAATGTGAAACAACCCTTGAAATGTAAAATTTGCAATAAACATTTTTCAACAATTAGCACCTTACGTCGACATAAAATGATTCATACAGGAGAACGTCCTTACAAATGTGAAACCTGTAATAAAGCATTTATAACAAATCATGAATTAATTCAACATAAAAGGAATCATACAGGAGAACGTCCTTACAAATGCAAAATATGTAATAAAGCATTCATAGCAAAAGAAACATTAAACCGACATTTAATGATTCATACTGGAGAACGACCACATAAATGCTTAATATGCAGTAAAGCATTTACAACACACAGCAAATTGAAACAACATTATTTTGTCCATACTAAAGAAAGTAAACATAAATGTGCAGTATGTAAAAAAACATTCGCAAATAAACAAAATTTAAATCACCATGAAATGATCCACACTGGTGAGCTTCCTCATAAGTGTGCATTATGCAATAAATCATTCACAATTAAAGAAATATTAAACCGACATCTAATGATTCATACTGGAGAACGACCACATAAATGCAAGATATGCAATAAAGCATTCAAATTAAAACAACATTTAAAACAACATGAATTTATCCACACGAGAGAAAGCAATCATTAATGAGCCACATGCAATGAAACATTCGCAACTACACCAACCAATTAAACCAACATAAAACTGTTCATACTGTCAAATATGTAGTAAGACATTAAAATCTAAACATGGATTAAAATGCCATTCAAAACAAAACAATCATGAGAGCTGATAAAAGTATGCCGATAAAATAGTTTGGCAGATGAATTTATAATAGAGGATTAAATTTTCATAATTTTAAACACAGTAAGACATTATAATTATAAATAGCAGACGTTCTCATTAGTGTAGAACACTTTGGTAAATATTGTTTATAAAATATCTTTGTAAATATTTGTGTTGACTAATAAAATATAATATTTAACGATATATTATTCACCAAATATTGTTTACTGTCAGAAGTTGTTACAAGAATATACAATGTCATTATTTAAATCAAATTGTTTTTATTTAATTATGTATATATGTATATGAATAACATAAAAATTAAAACTTGTTATAAATAATATTTGTTATTATTGGTCACTTATTAACTACGCATAGACTAGGTTATAGTAATCGTCCAAAAAACGAAAATCAAAATTTTGATTTATATCATATCTTTACGTTTCAAAGGTTTCTTAACATTTTAGTATACCTTAAAATAAGTGGATGTATATGTTTGTATGTGTGTACAAATTTTCTCCGATACCTCTGAAACGGTTTTTTATTTTTGATTTTTTTGCAATTACTATAACTGACCCTGCGGGAAGTTAATAATATTGTATGGTAAAATATTTATTTATAAATAAAATATATTATTTTTAACTTTCCGAAAGAGAAGTTTTGTTTTAGCCGAAAAATCATTTTTAACTTTAATATTCACCACAAAGAAACGGCCCGACCGATCTTCAGGAAAAACTAATCAACGCGATGGCCAACCAATATCTTCCTAGCAGTTTTTGAATTTTCAAAATCGGTTTAACATTGTGGGCTAAAACGTGAAAGAACAACATATACTTTTCTAGTAACTACCACTTCCAAAAGCATTTTTTTTTGTTAAAACAAGCAGAAAGTTTTTTGAGTCATTCAAATCAGTTGATGCTTAGTTACTGCCATTTTTGTACATTTAGCTCTGTATCTACGAAATGGCTGGAGCTGCCTTTGCCAAAAACTAAACGCCACTTCTCCCAATCATATTACATATCGAATGTTATTTGGATCATTCATATCGAATACTCCGTTCTCTCAAAAACTCGATTTCTATTTCCTGCACTCTTTGCTTAGTATCTGGTCCTTACCGTATGGTAAGTTATTGTAATGGGCCGAAAATCGAAATAGAAAATTTTTTGCATTTCTCGACGTTTTGAAGGTTTCTGAACATTTTGGCATACCTCAGAAAAAATGGATGTGTGTGTGTATGTATGTATGATACAATTTTTCGCCCACGTTTTCGGGCGCACGGATCAACCGATTTGAATGGTTCAAAAAACATTCGATTCCTGTTGATAGGGAGATGTACTGATTAGTTTTTGGCAAAGCCAGGTCCAGCAGTTACGGAGATAAAAAGCAAAGAGTGCAGAAAATAGAAATCAAGTTTTTGAGAGAACGGAGCATCCGATTTGAATGATCTAAAAAACATTCAATTAGTAATGATTGGGAGAAGTGATTGTTAGTTTTTGGCGATGGCAGACCCAGCCATTTCGAAGATACAGAGCTAAATGTGCAAAAAATGGCAGTTTTTGAGAAAACTAAGGGTCCAATTTAAATGATTCAAAGAACTTTCATCTTGTTTTAACAAAATAATTGATTTTGGAAAAAAATGTAATTTTTTTTTTAGTTTTTTTGTATATCAAAAATAATTCAGATTTTATTTTTAATTCTGACTAAATTTCTAATATACTTTAAACAAATAATTTTAACTTAGTTTGTATAAATCTAAATATTAGACAATGTTACAATATTTATAATAATCTATTTGAAAACATTCAGTAGTCCTTGAACATTTCGTTGCGGTACAGAAGTTCCAGCAATTTCCCTTAAGGCACGATGCCTTAATTGGCTCAAAACAGAATTCCACTTACAGCTAGTTTTAGTTACTTATAATTGTAAAATTATAATACTTATTATTATGTATATATTGATTATTACATTTTAATTGTTATGTAAAAATGTTTGTGATATATTAGAAAATATATTTTGTACTTCGTATGTTTTTTTTTCTCATTTTCAATATAAGAAATTATTTAAGTTTTCTTATTTTGAATTACGTATGCGAACCATATCTAGGAATAATACCAGCGGTTGATTTATATACTGAACAAGTGCTGCCTCCTTCAGATCGCTAAAAATATTAAAATGAAGGTAATGTCAAATGGCCTGAGATAGCGATCTATTTATGTTTACTTATCTATGCATGATACCATGACAACCATGATAAATGAAACATTTGAGTGTTGTCACACCTGATCTCAATCTTATGCGAAGTAAGGCTCAAATCGAAATGTCAAAGTCATAACGAATTAATAGATAAAAATAAAATATATATATATATATATATATATATATATATATATATATAACTAGCGTCAAAAATGTCCGAAGAAACAATTTCAAACCCAACAATTAAAATTGAACCAAACGAATATCCTCCAGTTAAACAAGAACTTGATGATAACGATATTACTCCAGAAACATTTTTAGAAAATGAGGTAATATATTTACAGCAATTTTTAGAATTTGAGATGAAAATAAACGAAAAAATAAAACAAGAAACAATTGATGATCAAGATGAAACAAGTTTCGGCGAGGAATCTTACATGGAAAACGAAGAAATAAATCAACAGCGATTTTTAAATTCTGATGACACTATAGATGAAGAAATCAAGAAAGAAACAATTGATGATCAAGATCAAGCTCGTTTCGATGAGAATTCTTACACGGGAAATGAAGAAATATGCCTACAGCGATTTTTAAAATCTGAAGTAACATTTGACGAAGAAGTTAAGCATGAACCGATTGATGAGCACCTTGCAGACACTAGTAAGAACAAAAATATTCACAATGTCGGTGAGTTAAGTGATTTAGTGGATAATATAAATGAATGCAATAAATCATTTAATAAAGTTTTAGGAAAACGTAAAACTACCCTAAACTTGAAACAACCCTTGAAATGTAAAATTTGCAATAAACATTTTTCAACAATTAGCACCTTACGTCGACATAAAATGATTCATACGGGAGAACGTCCTTACAAATGTGAAACATGTAATAAAGCATTTAGAACAAATGATTATTTAAGTCAACATAAAAAATTTCATGTGGGAGAACGTCCCTACAAATGTGAAAAATGTAACAAAGCATTTACAACAAATAGTAATTTAAGTCAACATAAAAAGATTCATACGGAAGAACGTCATTACAAATGCGAAATATGTAATAAAGCATTTATAACAAACCATGAATTAATTCAACATAAAAGGATTCATACAGGAGAACGTCCTTACAAATGCAAAATATGTAATAAAGCATTCATAGCAAAAAAAAAATTAAACCGACATTTAATTATTCATACTGAAGAACGACCACATAAATGCTTAATATGCAGTAAAGCATTTATAACACAAAGCAATTTGAAACAACATTATTTTGTCCATACTAAAGAAAGTAATCATGAATGTGCAGTATGTAAAAAAACATTTGCAACCAAACAAAATTTAAGTCAGCATGAAATGATCCACACTGCTGAGCGTCCTCATAAGTGTTCATTATGCAATAAATCATTCACAAGAAAAGTAATATTAAACCAACATCTAATGATTCATACAGGAGAACGACCACATAAATGCAGGATATGCAATAAAGCATTCAGTTTAAAACAAAATTTAAAACGGCATGAATTTATCCACACGAGAGAAAGGAATCATTGAAGAGCCACATGCAAACATTCGCAGCTTCGCAATCATTAAACCAACATAAAATTGTTCATACTGTAGAACATCCTTATAAACGTCAAATATGTAATAAAACATTAAAATCTAAACATGGATTAAAATGCCATTCAAAACAAAACAATCATGAGAGCTGATAAAAGTATACCGATAAAATAGTTTGGCAAATGAATTTATAATAGAGGATTAAATTTTCATAATTTTAAACACAGTAAGACATTGTAATTATAAATAGCAGACGTTCTCATTAGTTTAGAACACTTTGGTATATATTGTTAATAAAACTTTACTTCATTGCTCACCAAATATTGTATACTGGCAGAAGTTATTAAATGAATATAGAGTGTTATTATATAAATCAAATCGTTTTTTATTTAATTATGTACATATGTATATGAATAACATAAAAATGAAAACTTGTTATAAATAATATTTGTTATTATTATTGGTCACTTATTAACTACGCATAGAGTAGGTTATAGTAATCATCCAAAAAACGAAAATTATAATTTTTATTTATATCTTATCTTAACGTTTCAAAGGTTTCTTAACATTTTAGTATATCTTAAAAGAAATGAATGAATATGTATGTATGTGTGTACAAATTTTCTCCAATACCTCTGAAACGGTTTTTCATTTTTGATTTTTTTGCAATTACTATAACTGACCCTGCGGGAAGTTAATAATATTACATGATAAAATATTTATTTATAAATAAAATATATCATTTTTAACTTCCGAAAGAGAAGTTTTGTTTTAGCCGAAAAATCGTTTCACAAAGAAACGGCCCGACCGATCTTCACCAAAAACTAATCAACGCGATGCCCAACCAATATCTTCCTAACAGTTTTTGAACTTTCAAAATCGGTTTAACATTGTGGGCTAAAACGTGGACGAATAATTTTATACTTTTCTAGTAACTACAAAGAAACGACTTGGCCGATCATAGCACAAAACAGCCCGACTCTAGTCGGAAATTTTGAAATCGGTCCAGACGTTTTTGAGCCAAGGTCAAGTCAAAAATCGGCTCATATACTTTTTCCAGATTTGGTCTCATTCGATTTAGAATGACTTAAAACGTCGAGAATACATAAAATTAGCAAATCATATTTTTTCGCGAAAACCAACTTCTTTTGCGAAAAGTTAATAATTGTGACAGATGTGTCTCATCATTCAGCTAAAAGAATTTCACAATTATTTAATACTAAAATAAATAATTATCAATATAAGATACAAAAATCAAAATTTAAATGCCAAACAAAGGACAACTAGTGGTGTATGGCATCGTGCATTTAGACAAATTGCTGGAACTTCCCGTGCAGTAACGAAATGTTCGAGGAATATTAACACATTCCACTCGCGAATTTTGCCGAGATTTATATGAATTTTGCCGTCGAAAGGGTTAAATGTTTTAAAAAAAATCATTATAAATACTGTAATATTGTTTAATATTTATAAGAATTATGCAATGTGAATTGCAAAGATAAAATCATTTATTTATTAGTATATAAGTAAGCTTTAGAACTTTAGCCAGACTTAAAATTAAAATCTTTAGTATTTTTGATATACAAAAAAATAACATTTAAAAAAATTGAAACAAAAAAATTTTTCCAAAAGCAATTTTTTTTGTTAAAACAAGCATAAAGTTTTTTGAGTATCTACGAAATGGCTGGACCTGCACATCTCCCTGTCAATAGGAATCGAATGTTTTTTGAAACACTCAAATCGGTTGATCCGTGCGCCCGTAAACGTTGACGAAAAATTGAGGACACAAAAATGCACACACATCAATTTTCTCTGATGTATACCAAAATGTCCAAAAACCTCTGAAACGTAAAAATATGCAAAAATTTTCAATTTCGATTGTTGTCCCATTACTATAACTTATCTTAGGGGAAGTTAATAAAAAAAAAGGATGGAGTAGGGGTTTATAAATTGTAAATAAAATCGTTTAAATACGACGGTGGGACCGATTCTGTATGGAAACACGCCCATACCCTTTCCATTTTCGATTTTTTTTGCAATTACTATAACTTACCCTATGGAAAGTTGATAATATAGAATTAAATGTTACATATGCAAATTTCACACTGAGAAGCACACATAATTGTCCTTAAAATAAAGGATCATATATAATATATATAAAGTAAATTAAATTGATAAAAATTAATAATTTAACTTAGCTAATAATAGTATTTGTGAAAAATTTACCTGGCCAATTCTCATTGATAGTGCAGTAAACGGAGAGGAAAAAAGGGTATAACCTCTTGTACCAAAGCAGTGAATCTGCTAGAATCCATCAAGATGCCTATAATGAAGTGAATTCTAGATGGAATGTGAATTACTTTAATTCTGGTGGAAATGGCGCGCTCATTAAACCATATGATTTAAAAGAAAAAAACACCGTACATGCTTCTTACTCATTTTACACGTAAAAAACTTGTAACAGCACTCATTTTAAAGCTTATGTTGAGCATTACAAAAACCCAATTTCTCCGAAATGCATAAAATGTAAAACCTCGACACGAGATGGCTTTAAATACAACAATTAAATCTTGAACGAAATAAAAAACGACTTTGCTCTTTCAAATATTGCTTAATATTTTCCTAGAATACTTTATGTAATAACAATTTATTAAGGTTTTTATTGACATTTTTTTTGTTCATTACATGATTTTCGTTAGAATGTATATTTTAGGAGATATTTGGAAAAAAACGAAGAAAAACGCCAAAAATATATGAATCTTTAGTGGCCAGTAACTTGAAAAGTATTAGTTTTTTGAAAAACTATAAAAACATTTTTTTCTTATAATTAGTTCTATCGATTTCCGACGTTATTTTGAAAAAATGTAATTTCACAATTGAGAAGTGGTGTCATCCCCCCGGGGGGTGATGGCGCAACACGAATTGTTTTCACTTTTGAACTTGAGGGTAACATGAACCTAATTCCAAAATTTCATTCAATTCGGAGCACAGTAAAAAAATTCAGACCCTAAACGCTCTGTTTACTGCACTATAATGAATGTCTTTTTAAATCATTTGATTCAATAAATCCTTCATTGCATATTCCACATTTATAAGGAGCTCTTCTTTGTGCGCGAATAAATGTATTCTCATGAGCTATAGTTGTGTAAAGTTTTTATTGCATATTTCACATTCATAAGGCGTTCCTCAGGATAAAACTTTTTATGCTGGTCTAACGCTAGTTTTGTTACGAATGTTTCATTGCATATCTCACAACTATAATGACTTTCTTCAGTGTGAATTACTTCATGCTGAATCAAATCTCGCATTATTCTAAATGTTTTATTGCATATATCACACTTATAGGGAAGGTCTTTATTATGTGTCATTATATGAGATTTTAATGATCGTTTTCTTTTGAATACTTTATTGCATATTTCGCAATTATAAGAAAGTTCTGCAAAATGCATCAGTCGGTGTCGTCTTAATGCTTGTTTTGTTCTAAATGTTTTACTGCATGTCTCACAATTATAAGTACGTTCTCCACTATGGATTATTTCATGTTCGTTTAATGCTTGTGCTGTACCGCATGGTTTATTACATATTTTGCAATTGTAAGGACTTTCTCCAGTATGAATCATGTTATGTTTTTCTAATCCTAGTTTTGATCTGAAAGTTTTATTGCATAATTCACATTTAAGAGAATGTTCTTCACTATGATTTTTTTCGTGCAAGTGTAATGAATGCTTTACTGAAAATGTTTTATTGCATACTGTGCATTTATGAGGTTTTTCTTTGGCGTGTACAGGTAAATGCCCTTTCAGACTAATTAATTGATTAAACCCCTTATTGCATATTTCACATTTATACGGCAGTTCTCCAGTGTGAATTATTTTATGTGTGTCCAATCGTTGTTTTGTTACAAATGCTTTATTGCATACATCACACTTATAAGGACATTCTCCGATATGCAGCATTTCATGATATTTTAATAATTTTTTTCTTTTGAATGCTTTACTGCATATTCCACAAGTATAAGAACGTTCTTCAGTATGTACAATTGCATGAGATATTAGTGCTCGTTTTGTTTTAAATGTTTTATTGCATATATCACAATTATAATCACGTTCTCCAGAATGGGTCAATTCATGGTAGTTTAATCCTTGTGTTGTAGCAAATGCTTTATTGCAAAATCTACAACCGTAAGGACGTTCTCCGGTATGAACTCTAGCATGTTGCATTAATGTGAATCTTGATCTAAATGTTTTGCCACATGTCTCACATGTGGTGTTTACAGTATGCACTGATAAATGTCTTTTTAAATAACATAGCTTTAAAAATCTTTTATTGCATATTTCGCACTTATGAGGGCGGTCTACAGTGTGAGTCATTTTATCTGGGTTTAATGATTGTTTTGTCGTGAATGTTTCATTGTGTTTCAAGACATGGGTTGTTTCAAGTTTTCCAAGGATTTCTTCATTACATATGTAAGGTTTTTCATCTTGATTTTCATTTTCATTCTCCTCCTGCTCTATATCTTCCTCAATTTTTACCTCAGATTTTAAAAATCGCTGTAGAGACATTTCTTCGTTTTCCGGACATTCTTCTGATATTATATAATCATCTAATTTTTGTTTGACTCGTAGACAACAATCAAATTCTTGTTTATCTTGAGGATATTCGATTGGTTCAATTTTAATTGTTGGGTTTGAGTTTGTTCCTTCAGACATTTTCGTCTTTGGATGGTTCTTGCACATAAACTGGAAAGTTTAAAATTTACTATATACGTTTTTCATGTACAGTAAATATTTTATTAATAATTAATTTGTTTTGTTTAAATACAATAATACTAACGCTAACACTTTGTTGTTATTTTATTTTCGCATATAAAACACAATTTCATTAAACACTTTGACATTTCTATTTAATTATAACCTCAAATTTTAATGGTAAAGGTTGGACAACATTGAAAATATTTCAATTGCAAATTTAAATATGACGGCGGCAAAATTTAAAGTCATGGATTATATAATTTCAATAAAAAAGATGGATTTGGTTCAAATTATAATCATTTTAAAACTATGTGGCGGTGTATATGGCTAGTGGTGTATACTCTTTTTTTATCTATGGTGTATGGCATCGTGCCTTAAGGCAAATTGCTGGAACTTTCCGTACCGTAATGAAATGTCCGAGGAATATTAAATGTTTTCGAATAGATTATTATTAATACTGTAGCACTGTCTAATATTTATAAGAGTTTTATAAGGTGAACAAAGTTAAAACTATTTATTTAAAGTATATAAGTGAGCTTTAGAACTTTACCCAGAATTAAAATTAAGATCTGAATTATTTTCAATATACAAAAAAAAAGTTTTTATAAAAAAAAATATTTGGATTTTTTTTTTTTGAAAATAAAGCACACACACACATCCATTTTTTCTGAGGTATGCCAAAATGTTCAGAAACGTTCACAACGTAAAGATATGTAAAAATTTTAATTTTCGATTTTCGGGAAGTTAAAAAATTGTAATAAAAAAAACTCGTTTCGTCAACACAAGCAGTTTTTTTTTTAAATAATTCAAATCGGATGCTTAGTTCTCTCAAAAACTGCCATTTTTTGCTGATATAGCTCTATATCTCCGAAACGGCTGGACCTGCCTTTGCCAAAATCTTATCAACACTTCTCCGCATTATTACAAATCAAATGTTCTTTTAAATCATTCATATCGGTTGATCCGTTCTTATAAAAACTGTCATTTTTAGCACTTTTTGCTCCATATCTCCGAAGACGCTGACCCGTCTTCGTCAAAAACTAATCAGCACGTCACCTCATCAATGGGAATCGAATGCTTTTTGAACCATTCAAATCGGATAAATCGTACGCCCGAAATCGTCGTCAAAAATTGTCTCCACACACACATATCGAATTTTTCTGAGGTATGCCAAAATGTTCAGAAACATCTAAAACGTGAAGATAGGCAAAAATTTTCATTTTCGATTTTTGGCCCTTTACTATAACATGCCCTACGGAAAGTTAATTAGGGATATATGGTAAATTACTGGAACTTCCCGTACCGTAATGAGATATTTCAAAAATATTAAAAAAAATCAAATAGATTATTATAAATACTGTAACTTTCATTATTTTTATTTTATAGACGAAATATAAGAGCTTATAAAAGACGATGACGTTTATATAAGTTTACATGAAAAGTGAATAAACAAAACTTAACCAAGCGGTGTTAGAATTAAGGATCTTATCTCATATTTCTAAGAAGTATATAAACAGAATTGCAAAGTTAAAATTATTTATCTCAAGTATATTAGTAAGCTTTAGAATTTTAGCTAAAATTAAAATTAAAATCCAAATTATTTTCGGTATAAAAAAAGATATTTTAACCTTTGACGCTTCTGAAAATTTTGGCAAACCTTAAAAAATGAATGTATGTGTGTGTGTGTGCGGATACAAATTTGCGTCAATTTTGGAACGCGGATCAACCGATTTCAGTAATTCAAAAAACGTTTGATTCGTATTGATAGGGAGACGAGCGAAAACATTTGGTTTGTACTCGATCGCGAGGCGTTTTTGCAAAAGGCACGTCTAGCCGTTTCGGAGGAATGAAACACAAAGGGTGTAAAAATTGTCTGTCGGTTTTTGAGAGAACGGATCATCCGATTAGATTAATTCAAAAAATATTTTTCTTGTTTAGACGGTGTGAAAAAAATGAATTTACCGGAAATTTCGTAATATTGAAAACTTTCAAAAAAAAAAATCAAATTTTCGAAATATTTCATAATGAACTTCCCGTAGGGCAAGTTATAGTAAACGCAAAAAATCGAAATGAAAATTTTTATATATCTTTACGTTTCAAAACCTTCTGAACATTTTGGCATACCTTAGAAAAAATGGATGTATGCGCGTGTGTGTGTATGTGCGTGTATGTGTGTGTGTTCGGATACAATCGACGATTTCGGGAACACGGATGAAGCGATTTGAATAATTCAAAAAACATTCGATTCGTATTGATAAGGTGCTGATTAGTTTTTGGCAAAAGCAGGTCTAGCCGTTCCGAAGATATGGGGCAAAAAGTGCCAAAAACGGTAACTCAGTTTTTAAGGATTTGAATAATTCAAAAACTGATCAAATTTTCATGAAGGCAGGCCTAGCGGTTTCGGAGATCTAGTAAAAAAAGTAGAAACTAGTTCGTTTGGTATTTAGCCTTGAATTAAGCAAGTTACATGAACTTCCCGATATGTGTAAATAATCGACTTAATCAATAAAAAATAAATTGATTTATGAGTGGATTTATTACACATAATTGAAAACGAACGAACACGTTTACTAGGAGTATTTTCAAAAATCAACAATTATTATATTTAAACCAGTTTCGGTAGGATTTTAATGGTTTAGTATGTTTATTAAGACCAAGTACTATATTGTTATACAAAGTAAATCGTCTAATTTTAATTTTAGCTAACGTCAAAAAAACTACTCATTTTCTCAAACTTTGATGATTTTTTAAAATTAAACTACTTGTTGTAAGGCCGTAATATTTCAGTAAGTTCTATAAGACCATGATGTACTCGTATATGGGTCATTTTTTTACAAACCGGACACTTTTTAACCTTGACATTTTAGAATTGTCTGAAAATTTGTTTACAGATACTATTCATAAAATCATTTGACACGTATTTCAGGATTTTGCTGAAAAAAAATTTTTGACGTAAACATTTACGATTGAAATATGGATTTTTTGCTCAATTTCTATGAACATCATCTGCGGTAAATTAATTATCTCCGGATGTGCTGATCCGATCAGTATTATTTTTTTTTTTACACTCATATTGAAGTGAACTTTGTAATGATTAAACATTTTTTTTTGTTTTTGAAATTTTCTTAACAATAACAACCCTTAAATATTTACAAAGTTTTACTCGGCCTTTACCCGAATTGAATCGATCCAAAAAAAAACATATATTTTCTTTTTTTCTCTGCAACAAAATTCTTTTTACAATTTGTTGGAGGTTTTGTTACAATCGAAAGATATTAAATATTTTCAAGCGCGAGCCGCGCTTTTCACGTCGTGGACCTCAAAGACTTGTACTCATTTGTCACTTTCGAATGACAATCTTATTGTTTTTCGGTTGAAAAATATTTTATAATTTTGCTTCTGGCGAAAAATGAACATATAGTCGAAAAAAACATTAGGGGAGAGCGGAGCTTAAAAGTTCGTGGGTAAAAAGATCCACTGCCAATATCTCAAAACAAGTAAAGTTAGAAATTTTTTAACATCATTCGAAAGTGACAAATGAGTACAAGTCTTTGAGGTCCACGACGTGAAAAGCGCGGCTCGCGCTTTAAAATATTTAATATCTTTCGATGTAACAAAACCTCCAACAAATTGTAAAAAGAATTTTGTTGCAGAGAAAAAAAGAAATTATATGTTTTATTTTGGATCGATTCAATTCGGGTAAAGGCCGAGTAAAACCTTTGTAAATATTTAAGGGTTGTTATTGTTAAGAAAATTTCAAAAACAAAAAAAAAATGTTTAATCATTACAAAGTTCACTTCAATATGAGTGTAATAAAAAAAAATAATACTGATCGGATCAGCACATCCGGAGATAATTAATTTACCGCAGATGATGTTCATAGAAATTGAGCAAAAAATCCATATTTCAATCGTAAATATTTACGTCAAAAATTTTTTTTCAGCAAAATCCTGAAATACGTGTCAAATGATTTTATGAATAGTATCTGTAAACAAATTTTCAGACAATTCTAAAATGTCAAGGTTAATTAGTGTCCGGTTTGTAAAAGAATGACCCATATCGCCAAAAAAGGTTCCATGAAAATCGGCTTAAATTTTTTTCAACAGTTCATTACAAGAAAACGGCTCGGTAGATTTTCACCTAAACCTAATCAGTATCATTCCGAACTAATATCTTTCGAACAGTTTTTGATTTTTTAAAATCGGTTCGGTAGGATGAGCTTAAATGTGAACGAAAGGTTTAACACTTTTTCTCAAATTACAAAAAAACGGCTTGGCAGATCGTTGCACAAAACTGACAAACGATAGTCCTCATCGAAATACATCAATTGGCTTTTAAATTTCTGAAATCGGTGCAGACGTTTTGAGAAAACGTCGATGAAAGGCCTAATTTTGATAAATGCCAAAAAAACGATACCAATTTTTGCAAACTTTGACAAATTTTCAAAGCTAAACCAGTTGTCGTAGGGCCGTAATATTTTAGTATGATCTAGTAGACTATAGTATCTACCGTCAAAAAAAATAATAATAAAAATCGTCGAAAAAAATTTTTTTTAACACTTTATTACAAGAAAACGGCCCGGCCGATCTTTACCAAAAACTAATCAGCACCATTCCCAATCAATATCTTTCAAACGGTTTTTGAATTTTCAAGATCGATTCAGAACTGCGGGCTAAAACGTGGACAAAAAAATTTTCACTTTTCTGCTATTTACAAAGAAACGGCTTGGCTAACCGTCGCGCAAAATTGATAAACGCTAGTCCTAATCGAGATACATCGAATGGCTTTTAAATTTTTGAAATCGGTTCATCCGTTTTGGAGAAATCGTCGATTTACGGCAAAAATCTGTTCACACACACACACACACATACTTTTTCCAAATTTGGTCTCATTCGATTCAGAATGGCTTGAAACGTCGAGAAAACATAAAATTAGCGAATCGGATTTTTTGATGAAAACATAAACTTCTCCTTCGGGAAGTTAAAAAATGCCATTTGGCGGTCAAAAATGATCATTAGACATATGAACATCAAATTATCAGATATTTTATAGAGATTTTAACAATAAGTATAAATTTTGTTTACATTCCTATGGTTCCATACCAATGTTTATCCGTTAGAC